CTAAAGTTGTGTTTAAGATGTAGATGCCAGGGTTCCATTAGGAAATTCTTCCTGGAAATTATAATCCCTGGAGGATAGCTGAGCCTGGGACAGACTTTTTTTTTAAGGTTTTGGGGTTTTTGTTGTTTTGTTTTTGTTTTTTCGAGACAGGGTTTCTCTGTGTAGCTTTGGAGCCTGTCCTGGAGCTCGCTCTTGTAGACCAAGCTGGCCTTGAACTCACAGAGATCCACCTGGCTCTACCTCCCAAGTGCTGGGATTAAAGGTGTAAGCCACCACCGCCCGGCTTTTTAAGGTTTTTTATTTCATGTGTATGAGTGTTTGCCTACCTGCTGCCTACAGAGGCCAGAAAAGGGCATTGGGTTCACTAGGACCGGAGTTCCTAACAGTTGTGAGGCACCACGGAAATGTTGGGAACCAAGCTCAGGTCCTGAGGAGGAGCTGTAAGTGCTCTTAATTTCTAAGCTATCTCTCCATAAAAACTATGCAGCTCAGTTAGGCTGTGTCTTTGGTTTGGTTTGGTTTGGTTTTGAGACAAGGTCGTACAAGGTAATCCTGGCTAGCACTCTTTATGAAGACCTAGGTGGCCATGAACTCACAGAGATGGCCCGCCTCTGCCTCTAGAGAGCTGGGATTAAAGGTGTGTGCCACATCCAGGTCTTGAAAAGGCTTTCAGTGATACCTACGCTTGGGTGCATATGTATGTGCACTCATGTGTACACGTGTACACATACACACACACAGGAACAATGATGTTCCCAGCAGAGGTCTGGAGACAAGACCCAGAACACATGCTGATGGGAAAAGCAGGATCCAGGGGAGACAGGGTATAATGAAAAAGGGGTTCTCAAAAGGACTCCCCAGAGCCTCTCAGTCATCATCATCAAGTTGGGGGAATGTTGGGGTCTCCACACATGTGATGATACAGCCACTTAGAAATTTAGAAAAATCACCAGGTCTCAGTTTGGGGTGATAATGAGGGACAAGAATGAAGAGCAGGAGGTCAGGTGAGGTGGTGCACACCTTGAACTCCAGCACTTGGGAGACTGAGGCAGGTGGATCTCTGTGAGTTCCAGGCCAGCCTGGTCTACATAGTGAGTCCCAGGCTAAGAACTACCTAGTGAGATCCTCCCCATCCAAAAAAAAAAAAGTAAGGAGATCAATGTGTAAGTGGTCTTCCAGCAGAGCTGGCAATGGCCAGACATGGGGTAAAAAGCTAGAGTAAAATATTAAAGATGACAAGATAGCAGGGCCGGAAATAGATGACCTGGGGGAATCCAGCGAGAGGCACAGTAGACCTGAAGTCAGGCGAAACACCCTCAGTAGCCATCACGGGTGAAGGTTTTCAAGAACTACCCTCCCATCTGACATAGAAAGGCGTCCCAGTGCTGTCCCTGTCAAGACAACTAGCCATTCGCTGAGGAAGGAGACTGTATATGCATGTGTGGGAAATGCTGCAGGCTCCAGCTGGGTCTGCAGGGGGGGAGAGGGGAGCTAAAGAGGAAGGAACTAGAGGGGAAGGGTGCCCCCAATGAAATGGGGCTCTGCTGTTTATAAAAACACACGTGAACGAGAACACAGCCCGGAGTAGCCGCCGGGGAACAGGATCCTCGGTCTTCCATTTTGGAGGCAACTCCACAGTGAATAGTCATTTTTCTTCTTGAAAGTGAAGTATCTGTAGCGTGGAGCTCCAAGAACTTGAACCCCACGTCCCACTGCTTTCCATCCTTGGCTTTGGCTGAATGGGAGACGCTGGAGTCCTTTCTGCAGGAGGCCAGACCAAGTTGGACTCTTGGCTGACGTCCTTGGCGGATCCACTCCTCCTTCGGGTGAGGAAGAGTGGGCGAAGAGATGGAGGGAGAAGAGGGCTCACCTGGGGAGGAGGCAGGAAGAATGAACAGCTCTTCCTGATGCACCTGGAAAAACGTTAGGGAAGGGAGTGGCCAAACGCCTAATCCACGGCCTCTGCTGTCTTGCCCCTGGTCCTTAGGCCAGGAATGTGGGCTCTGGCCTGACTCCAGAGGAAGAAGAAGTTGGGAAGCAGCAGGCTTCTCAGCCGGGCTAAGTCGGAAAAACAAACAAACAAAACAAAACAAAACAAAAAAAAAAAAAGGAAGGACGCCAGTTTGGAGAATACAAACCACACGTGCCTCAGCCTAAACAGGCAGAACTCCTCCAGGGCACTGCCCACATTCAACCCCAAGGTCCAAAGTCAGAGGACTAGAGACTTTGAATGGCAAATGCTGATGTGAGCGCTTTGGCACTGCCCTCTGTCCTGGAAGCAGCATGTTCTGCAGTTTCTGGACCCAGAAAATGCTCAAGGAGAGCTCAGTCCCTAACCTCTACCAAGCACCAGGAGGTCACAAGGTCAAAGGCAGCCTTTTGCCCTTCCTGCCCCCTCACTGGGCACTAAGAATAACCTCCTGCTGGGGACGAGGCAGGATAAAAAAAGATTTAATTACAGTTTCTGTTTCTGACCTTGATCCTCCACCCCCAGGAGCGGCCATCTTTGGTGTCAACAAGAGGACATCGGGCTAGCTGCAACCACAAACACAGTGGAAGACACTCTTAGAACTGGAGAGAGGCCCCCTGTGCCCAACTCATTCAATCTCCAGGCAGTCCCTGAGCGCTGGTAAAAACCAGAGACATCCATCCTGAACTACCTAGTTTAGGTAAGATAGAAGATGCTTGTAAGTCTTTCAGCGACTGGAGAGGTCTCCCTCCCAGAGGGTTGCCAAGCCAGAACCTCGGTTTCCAAATCTCACCTCCACCACCCTCCACCATATTCCTGCTGTGTTGCGGCACAGTCAGCCCGGACTGTTTCACGCTTTTTGCTTTTTCTCCTCCAATCCCAATGGCATCACATAGGACCTCGCATGGGGCCTGTCCTTCACTGTGGATTAAACACCACCAGTCTCCGGGGTTACCCACCACTCTCTGGCACACTTACCCACTCTCTCACCCCCCAGTTTCTAGAAGCTATATAAAACTACAAAGTCACCAACCTGACGTCTAGTAGGACTAACACACCCTCCTTAGCTTCCCTCTTAAACTATGAGCTGGTGTGGAGCAACTTCCAAGAGACCCCTTAAACGTGGCCATCTGATGCTTCCTAGAACAAAACAAAAAAAGGGGGCGGGGTCTGTAGAGCCATGAGAAAACTCTCCCTCTGGCTTGAGAACTCACCCACTGGGATTCTGATAACCGCCTTTGTTGTCTAAGAATCTGAGTTTGGAGTCCCTGCAGGAGATGGGAGGAGTGGCGGCGGAGATGAAGAAAATAAAAGCTTTTAGACAGGGCCCTTCGTGCCAAGAATACCTCCGGAGGTCGACAAGTACTCACAAGACCAAAGGGAAGCCAGTGCCAATATCTCTGTTTGTTGACTCATTGAAATATTCCATCCCGGGGTCATTGCCATTGAAAACATCTCCTCCATCTGGAACCTTCTCCGCACCAAGGACACAACTGCTTCATTCATCTCTTCCGAGGAAGCTGTCACCAAGTCTCTGCTGCCTCCACCAGCGGCTGGGCAAGATGACAAGCCCGGCCTTGCCGACTGAGACACCAAGGACGAAGCTCTTGTGTGGGTCGAGTCTTGGGTGTCTTTCCCACTCTGCGGTCTGCACCCTCCCCTTGCTCACAGCCCTGCCCCCATACAGCTCACTCTCCAAAGGAATCAGGCAGGCAGGAATAGAAGTAGGACTTCCCATCCCAATCAGCATCCAGGGGGATTCACACAGGGCACACCTCATGCCCACAAGGAAGGGACTCTTCTAATGTGCCTTCTATGTATGTGTGATCTTTACAACCTGACACTGGCCTTTTATGAAAGAAAAGAAAAAAAAAACTGTCCAAGTCCCAGTGGCAAGGGAGGAAGAAACTTGAACCCAAGGAGCTACCACCAGTTGAATATGAGCAATCTGTTAAGGTTCTGAATTTGGTCATGTATCTCTAGCTGGGAAGACTTAACTACAGGCAGCAGCGCTAAGTAGAAGTGTGATATGCAAGGGTCAGTGGGCCGTGAGCTCCAGAGGACAGGTTTGGACCTCCTGCACCCACATCTGCTACAAGCTGAGCCGCATCAGTACCCAGCATAAGACCGGCTCTCACTTGATGTTGGAGTAGAATAAGAGGTACCTAGGGACAGTTTCTGATGGTCTAGATGGTCGGGAGAAGTGTTCGGAACAGGGAAGTAAGCATTGTGTGGCAGCTCACTCTGGCTCAGGCCTGAGCACACATTCTGGGGACAGGAACCAAACAAAGGACCTCCAAGCTTAGCTAGACCAGCCAAGCCCATTTCCGTCTTAGGGGAAGAACCTTGGGACCCTCTCGCAAGAGGTTAAGACCGAGTGACCTAAGCCACAGCACGCTTCACAGGGAGATCTAACCCAGAGTGGGCAGTAGGGGTGGACGGCCTCACTGACGGCCATCACTCATGGGTCATGTAGAGAGCTTGGGCTTGGCTGATCTGAGAGGCAGCATCCGGGCAGGGTTTAGGATAGCGACTGCGTGGGAAATAAAACAGATTCTGTGTTTTCATTAACTGCTCTCAATTCCGTGTCGCAGAGGTTAGCATTCCTGTTTGATTTCTTTAGCGAGGGCAGGGCCAGAGACTTAATGGGTTTCTTGAGTCCCTAGGCAGTTCCTACTGTGCTCGGGGACTGGTGAGCCGCTGACAGACAGCCGCTTGAGGGAATGGAGGCAACAAGAGCACAGAGGAAGGGAAGGTCAGACACCAGGACCTAGGAGCAACACACACACACACACACACACGGGGGGTAGGGGGGCCCCGCGGGGAGCGCAAGCTGGCCCGCTGGGGTGCCAACGCATCTGGGGCGGGCTGGCAGAAGGCAACAGTTCAGGCAGGAAGGATGCCACTCCGAAGCCACTTCAGTTCCTGAGCAGCCTCCAACCCAGGCAGGAAGCAAGCCTGCCCCCACTGATCTGCAGAGCCCGTCGGCCTCCCTCAGTAACACAGCAAGGCTGTAAATCAGGGGGTAGGAAGGAGCTGTCTCGCGTTTTTCCTGCCGGGCCAGACAGAAACACGCACTGCCAGGGAGGGCCGCAGACTTGGAAAACCAAGTGCTACTGCGCATGGGTTCTTTCAAGGCAGGGACTGGGCTGGTGCTGAGCTGGGGGTCCACCTGGCCCACCTCCGATGGAGAAGCGGTCACCCCATCCCAGCAGGCTCTTTAGTGACGGATCTCTGCGGCCAAGGCTGGCAAAGGCTGGTGGTACTCAATAGCTGCGGCTTCAGCTTCGGGCACGGCCCGCGGAGGCTGCGCAAAGGGAATTTTCCACTGTCAGGTTTCATTCAGCTCACGCCACCGCCTTACTGTTTACAGCGAGCGGAAAGGTGCAGCCACCCCCGGGCGGGCGCAGCCTCGGTGGGATGCGAGGGTGGGTAACGGGGGAGTTCTTGTGTGTCCTGACCCTGACGGCTCCACCTGGGGTGCGCGGAGGCGCTGTACCCAGAGAGGAGCAGGACCCTGGGTGGAGTAGAGGGCACAGGAAGCCACTGCGTGGCTGCCCTCCCTCCCTCCCTCCCTCCCTTGGATGCTCCCTTGCCTGGGACTGAGAGATGTCCCGCGTGGGTGAGTGCTCCCCTTTCCTGGCGCTGCGCCTCCCCCCTCCCCGGAACTGCCCCCGCTCAAACAGTGCTGCCATGCCCTCTGGGTAGTGTTTTCATTCCAGGCTGGGGATCCGGTGGTGGGAAGCAGGTAGGAAGCCATATTTCTGGGGGTTAAATGAAAATATATATATATATATATTTAGTGCTTACAGAAAGCCAAATATTGGGTTAGAAGCCAGGAACGGAGAGGGAAAAAACCCAAAGCAAACAACAGAGGGAAGAAATTCCTACTAAACAAGCTTTCTATTCATTCTTCTCATCCCAGGTGCAGAGCCTGCAGGGAGAACTCAGGACGAATGTAGGACTTTAAGACCCCAAGCTCAGATTCTACAACGCCCATGGGATCAAGAGGTGTGCAGTCCCCTCCCCCCAAATGTCAATATCTGGTTGGCCATAGCACCCCAAAGGTCATTAAGGTGGCTCTAAAACCCTTTGGGAGTGGAGAGGAAGAATGAAATAAACTGTTCCTGGTTGGACCCTACACAAGTAACAGCCTCTCCGGACCTCATCTATGGGATGTAGGGAGGGATTATGATTTCACAGGTCATAGCAACCTATTCTGTTTCAGCCTAAAGTTAGCCATAACACCTGTAGTGCCCATCTGTGTAGTGGGGGCTTGGAAAAACAGACTCCTGTATACTTCAGTCTGCCCCCCTACCCCCACCCCCACCCCCACCCCCACCCCCCACCCCACCCCGCCCTCGGCCCTTCATAGAGCAAACTCCTAGGGTCTGAGCTAGAAACCTCCAACGCCAGTGGTGTGCTTCTAGAACCTTCTCAGATCACTTCTAAGGTAACGGTTGATCTGAGGGACAGCAACAGCCAGCCTGGCTAACTGGAAAACTGAAGGGTAGCAGGGAAAAGCTGCTGGGTAGGTAAAAGTGAAGAACTAAGGGAAGAAGCCTCTTCTGCCTCCTGGACACTCCCAGGCTGAAGAGGTGCTTGGGAGAGATTGCATCTCCCTTAGAAGCAGAAGTTGTACGCCAGGGGAGCAAAAAATGGATTTTGACCAACCAGAAGAAAGACTGTCTACCCTAATGCATCTCCATGGCTCTTGGCCTTCCACACTTCATAATCTGGTACCTCCACACTTCACAGGCAGAACCATTGACCTGAGGAAACTTGAAGGCTGCCGTCTGGCATGCCTCCGAGTTGTCGCTCTGAAGAGCCCAGGCTTCAGTTCCCACCAGCAGGGACTCACAGACACACATCTTTGGGTGAGTTATGGCACCAGGTACGGGACCTTGAGAGAGGACCCGCAGAACCAACCACTGACAAAACTGCTAAATAAGACAAATCCTCTGGGCTGGAGAGATGGCTCAGAGGTTAAGAGCCCTGATTGCTTTTCCAGAGGACCTGGGTTCAATTCCTAGCACCTACATGGCGGCTCACAACTGTCTGTAACTACAGTTCCTAACACCCGTACACAGGCATACATACATAGGCAGGCAAAATGCCAATGCACATAAAAAAAAAATAAATGAATCTTTAAAAGATGGATCCTCGTGAACTTTCTCCTTTATTTCTTTAAGCTCTGTGGGTTGTATTACCTGTCATCAGATTTCCAGAAACTAAAAATTGTCCCTACATGTATCTAATAAGTCACCGCCTATCTCCTGGATTTGTGCCCCCAGTCTTACCATCCCTCACCTTTGCTGCCTTGGGGGCCCTGGGCCTGCCTCACGAGGATTACAGAGACTTCTCACCAGCTAGTAACCCTGAGTGCCTCTTTCATCCATCCCTCTCTGGTCTAGCCAGAGCACTGTTTCTAGAGTGTATCTGTCCACAGTTATCTCCCTCACCTCCAGGCAATTTTGTACTAAATATCTACCGTCTAAAGGACAAACATCTGAATTCAGTCTGGAGCATGCAAAAGCTTTCCATCCTTGAAGCTGACTCTATCTGCTCCCATCTCCCTGGGTCCCCAGTCCTAAGGATGTTTTTTCATTAAAAGGCTGCTGGACTTCTTGTCAAGATGGAATAGTGAATACTTCTCTATTCCAGCCACAAGGCAGTGGTGAGTGCTCAATACACAGCGTTGGGCTGAAAAAGAAGGTCAGCTTCTGTGAGGTAGATGCAGGGCAGAGCCTGAAGCCAAGCTGTGACTCGGGGCTGCCAGGCTCTGGGTTCCCTGGGATTGTTAAAGAGGCTGGACACAGAGTTACACTTGAAAGGTCAGTGTCTCAATAGGCACCAGGAGCCTTCTGGAGACGATCAAGTTCACTTTCTTGCTCTGGGTCGGTTGAGGCCCCTCTAAAGAGTTCTAGCCCCTTTCCATTACACAGGAGCAGATTCACTTTGGAGAAGTGTCTAGATACTCATTTATGAGTAGCATACATTTTTAATGTTCCTTTTACATTAATAAAAACATTTACTCTTCAAAACAAAAAAGATTTCCTGGGAGACAGGAGGCCGGAGGAAGATGCTGCTGTGAGATTCTGTGGACTGGGTAGACTGACCCAAGAGGGTAAGAAGAACACAGCCTTGCAAGGAGGAAGCCATCCACCAGCTCCACTTCCAGATGGGTGTTAGTCTAGCACAAGAGAAAGAACCATGAAACAATACAGAACCCTTTTTTTTTTTCTGGAATGAGGGGTTAGGAGACCAACTACAAAACTACTAACTGCACCCTCAATTAAAAAAAAAAAAATAAGACCTGAACACACACACACACACACACACACAAATTAGAGTGTATGTGGGACAGAACTGCCTTTCAAAATGGGTCTACAAATCAAACTTCCAAAATACATACCATGAAGAAATCTAATGTTCTTTTTCAGAGGATGGTAAAAATCAACATGACTTCATTTTAGTTGATAATGGTTTACAGAGTAGTGTAGAAAGGGCCTTCACACACGTTTTTATCTATATGGTGCCAATAAATTTGAAAGGTAAAATAGCTACTAAAAACATGTAAGAAATATTAAGTGGAAATTTAATCCGTTAAGGCAGATAAGGAGCATGTGGAAAGTAAAAAAAAAAAAAAAAAAAAAAAAAAAAAACAGAATAATGAACCCATCGGAAATCTGAGCTGTAAAAATAAAATCAGTGATTTTCTTAAAAGTCAACATTCAGGTTAAACTCTAGACTGTATGTCATGAAGAGAAAAATGATGAGCGATGAATTGGAAGGCAGCAAGGAAAAATTCATCCAAAATAATGGAGCACAAAGAATCCACGAGGGACGAGGGCTGAAGACAAGTTATGACATTAAGTGGATGGAAAGACTCGTGTCCAGGGGAGGATCTAGAACGAGAGAAGGGCGGAAATGGCCATAAGGTTTTTTGATAAATTTGTTTTTGTTTCTATCGGCCTGGTTACTTTAGCTTCTAAATGTTTCTTTTGTGTACAGATTTAGGTGAGTCACTGTCCTCGAAGGAGGGAGCAGCAGGTATCCTGGTCAGACAGGATTTATGGGAAGCCTGGCTGGATTCCACTTCTTCAGCCAGTCATCCACCCCGGGGCCACACCGAAAGTCAGCTATCTACAGCGATGGATGTCCTGTGTTTCGCTGGTATCTTGATGATAACAGCAACTTCCTGATTCCATGGACCACAAGGACAGTGTGATCTGAAAGTGCGGTTCTCCTGTGCAATCTTCCTTCCAGGGGTTTTTGTTTGCATCTGTACTGTTGTTAGAGCTGGGAGGGGGGGCGGGGGGAGCAGATGGCTCAGTGGATCAAACTCTTACTGCACATGTGTGAGGACCTGAGCGAGGATTACCAGGACTGATGTGGAGCTGGGCTTGGTCATGAGCACAGTGGTAGGAGGAGGCAGGGACAGGAGCATCCCCAGAAGTCTGCAAGCCAGTTAGCCTCGCGTAAATAGCAGTAAACAAAGAGACCCTATCTTAAGGTAGAAGGGTAAGGACCACCACCCGAGACGGCCCTCCGAGCATGAGTACCATGGCATACTCATGCTGGTACTAACACACCATACACACACACACATACAGGCACGCACGCACGCACGCACACACGCGACTTTTTCAAAATGTCTCCCAAGAATTCTTGTATTGAAAACTTAATCCCAAAGTCATATTTGGAAGTTATTTAGAGGTAAGGAGGGCCTGTGAGAGCCGATGAGAATGAAATGAGGTCATGAAGGGAGAGAAAGCCCAGTGAGGTAACTTTGGCACACTTCCTCTCTCTCCCCATGTGGTACCCTTGGCCTTGTGATGCAGCAACAAGACCTTTATCTCTGCTCATGCTTGAGAGACTTACAAGTTTCAAGACAGTCTAGGAAATGCAGCAAGACCCCATCCAAAGAAAAGAAGGAAGACATAGGCTGGGTGTGTCTCAGTAGTAGAGTGCTTGTCTAGTTTGGTTGCCAAGTCCCTGGTTCCGTACCCATCATTATCATGAGAGGCAAGAGGAGCAGCATGCTTCAAGAACTGAACTAAATAGATCTTTATTCTTTTTTTTTAAATAATTTATTTATTTTTATTGTATGTGCATTGGTGTTTTGCCTGCATGTATGTCTGTGTGAGGGTGTCAGATCTTGGAGTCACAGATAGGTATGAGTTGCCGTGTGGGTGCTGGGAATTGAACCTGGGTCCTCTGGAAGAGCAGTCAGTGCTCTTAACCGCTGAGGCATCTCTCCAACCCATCTTTATTCTTTATAAATTGTCTCATATTATATATTTTGTTATAGCAAAAGAAAATTCATTCAGGCCATGTGAAATGGCCCAGTAAGTAGAGACACCTGCCACCAAGCTTGATGTCTCGGTGGTTAAGAGCATTTCCTGCACATTTAGAACATCAGAGTTTGGTTTCCCGCCACCTGCAAAAATCTTAAAAAAAAAAAAAAAAAAAAAGGCCGGGCAGTGGTGGCGCAGGTCTTTAATCCCAGCACTCAGGAGGCAGAGGCAGGCGGATCTCTGTGAGTTCAAGGCCAGCCTGGTCTACAGAGTGAGTTCTAGGATAGCCAGGGCTACACAGAGAAATCCTGGGGGGCGGGGAGAGAAAAGGAAAAAAATAACACTGCAAGTTTCTAGAATAGGAAAATATATATTATATATTTCACATATAAAAATATACACATATGCATATAGTATCAATGCTTTCTGACTCTGGAGGTAGAGGCAGGAGGATCAGAAGTTCAAGGTCATCCTCAGCAACATAAGACATTCAAATTGCCTAGACTACTTGAGACCCTGTGTGGAGGAGGACAACAAAAAACAAAACAAAAATGTTATCTAGAAATAGTGAGACACAGTCTCCAAAATTGTAAGGAAGAAATTAACAAATTCACATTTGATAAAATGGTAATCTACTGTAAAGATAGAGGGTTTTTTTTTTTCAAGTACAAAATGTCTAATCTAAGTATTATCTCTAGGGAAGGGACTGGAGGGTGTGACATACAGAAATAAGGAAGCTAAACAAGAAAGAGGAAGCCACGAGATACATAAAGCTAAACCTGAAAAGAGGAGATACCAAGACAATGGTTGTATTGGAGGAGAAGGCACTGGATTGGAAAGCTCCAGGAAGGATGGCTTCCAGAAGATAAGACAGGTACACCTCGAGGAAACTTGATAATAAAAATAGAGAAAAGCAGGCAAACGGAAGGGAAAGCTATGCAAGTTACGCATCTAGACCGTGGCCAGCCTGGTCTACAAAGTGAGTCCCAGGCCAGCCCAGGCTACAAACTGAAACCCTGTCTCAACAACAACAAAAATAAAATAATAAACTAAGGCAGGCGTGATGGCGCACACCTTGAGTCTGAGGCACAGACAAGGAGAATGTCCACCCAAAGATGTCAAGGTCAGAGCCCCTGCAGGAGCTTACCCAGGCATTATGAACATGGGATATGAAGGAGACTACCCAAAGAGCCAGTTGATAGAGCTGGAAAAGGTTGAAAGTTGCTTCTGAAAAAGGAAGTGAGCATAGGCTATTGGTCTTCTTGTATTTGGAAAGTCTTGCACAATTTAGTCATTTTAATTGTCTCTATGTGAATTGGAAAGAAAGATAAAACTTAAGCCGGGCCTCCCTTGTGCTATACACTCCTAATTCCAGTACTCAAGAGTTGGAGGCAGGAGATTGCAAGTTTGAAGATAGCCTGGACTACACAGCAAAACTCTGTCTCAAAAAAAAACAAAAAAAACAAAAATGAAAAGAAATGCTGGGTCATTGAGATAGCTCAGCTGTATGACCTGAGTTCAATCCTCAAACCTACACAGTACATGGAGAGAACTGACTTTCAAAAGCTGTAGCTTCACATGAGCGCACATGCACAAGTGTGTTGCGCACACACACACACAACATAAATAAATAGCAGGGTACGGTGGTATATGCCTTTATTCCCAGCAGCTAGGAGGTAGAGGTAAGCAAATCTCTGTGAGCTTAAGGCCGATCTAGTCTACATACAGCAGAGGTTCTCAAGCCGTGGGTCGTGACCCCTTTGTGGGGGTCGCCTAAGACCATCAGAAAACACACATATTTGCATTCCGATTCATAACACTAGCAAAATGACAGCTCGTGAAGTAGCAGTGGAAATTATTTCATGGCTGTGGGTCACCACAACGTGAGAACTAACTGTATGTAAGGGTCCCAGCGTGAGGAAGATTGAGAACCATAGAGAGTTCCAGAACAGCCAGGGCTACATAATGAGACCTTGCCTCAAACATGAGTGCGTGCCAGAAAAAATGCTGATCCCTTCAAAGAATAAATTAATAAACCAGACAAGTGTCCAGCAAACGACTGACCAATAAAAAAGAAAGAATTCAAACAGCGTTAGGGAACAAATCTGCAGCCTCTATTTATTTACCCCTAGAGTTTAGCACCCTGGCTCCAGCTCTGTGCACTCAACAGTTCAGCTGAAACGTAGCTCTAGATAGCAAAAAAAAATACTAAAATCGACCCCAAAATAGTCAAACTAAACCAACAGCTATTAAAATTCTGCATTGCTAATCGAGGTATCTGTTCCAGGTGGTTTAAGAAAACTTTTTCTGAAACTTTCCAAGTATAAATAAACATGGTCTTAAACCAATGTTTTCAGTTCCTGTGTTGGGTGTTCTCCTAAATCCTTTTTCTGGGAAGATTTTTCTGTGGGACTCAGGAAGGCCCAGCCACACCCTACATTTTCCAGCTATGACAGATTCCCTCCACCCCCCACCCCATGAGGGAATCAGGGCAGTCTTCTGTGCTACAAACACAGCCTCTGTGACTCTTTGTCCTTCACTGTGAGCAGAAGTTGTGTTCTGGGTCTCCATCATTCACCCTTTCCCAGCACTGGACTTAAGGGAAGTTTGTTCTCGCCTTTCAGGAGGCCAGAAGTTCAGATGAAGGTGGTGTAGGACTGGATCCTCCTGAGACCCATGAGGGGAACCTGTTCCAGCTGGCTGTCTTGGCCTCTACCTCTCCATGGACCCTATGGCATTGATTGAAGATGTGCCTGAGTCCAGATTTTCCAACCCTTTTTATTCTTTTTCCTTTGTGTGTGTGTGCAGGGATGTGTATGTGTGTGTGTGTGTGCATGTGTGTGTCCATGTGCGCATAATGCACATGGATATACATGTTTGCATGTGTGTGAACCACATGAGTCCAAAACTCTCCCTCATCCTAGTGTGTGTAGGTGAGCAAGTACATGTGTACTTATACTTTTACACACACACACACACACACACAGAGGCACAGAGAGGCCTAAGGTTAATGTCAAGAATCCTCTTAATTACTCTCCCACCTAATTCTTTGAGTTAGGGTCTCTCAACCACGTGCCCCTCCCATACGTTCTCAGACACAGCTAGTCTTGCCATATTGGAGGATTTTTGATTTTTTTTTTTAAATTTTTGTTGTATGTGCATTGGTGTTTTGCCTGCCTGTATGTCTGTGTGAGGGTGTCAGATCTTGGGAATTATAGACAGCTGTGAGCTGCCATGTGGGTGCTGGGAGAAGAAGAGTAGAGATTCAACAACATACAACTCCTGTGTCAAAAGGGAAGTCTGATCCAGATACAATGGTGTGCCTTTAATAGCACTCTGGAGGCAGCAGCAAGTGGATCTCTGAGTTCCAGGCCAGCCAAGGCTGTCTCTCTCCTCTCTCTCTCTCTCCCACCCCCTCTTCCCCCTCCCTCCCCCTCCTCTCCCCGCTCTCCTCCCCTCCCCCTCTCCCTCCCTCTCTGTGTGTCTGTCTGTCTGTCTGTCTGTCTGTGTGTGTCTCTCTGTTACACACACACACAATTTTGGTTTTTGTTTTAGTTTTTCAAGACAGGGTTTCTCTGTGTAGCCCTGGCTGTCCTGGAACTCATTTTGTAGACCAAGCTGGCCTCAAACTCACAGAGATCCACCTGCCTCTGCCTCTCTAGTGCTGGGGTTAAAAGCATGTGCCACCACACCCAGCACACATAGTTTTTAAAGGGTCTGGAGAGATGACTTGGTGGTTAAGAGTACTTGTTGCCTCTCACAGAGAACCCAGATTCAGTTCCCAGAATCCACATGGTGGCCCATCGCCATCCATACTCCAGTTCCACCCGGTTGAATGCCTTCTGACTAAGTACCAGACACTCGTGAGAAGCACATGCATACATGCAGGCAAACCACACACGTGTAAAATAAAAATAAAATATTTTAGTTATTTTAAAAGGAGAAGTCTTAGAGCTGGAGTTGTAACTCAGTTGGTAGACTATGGTTTTGACATGCCATGCCCTAGGTTCAATTCCCAGCACCCCTGAATTAGGAAATACTTGAAATTAAAAATACAACACATCAAAATTTACAAGTTGCAGCTAAACCATGGCTTAGAGGGAGATATACTTTGAAGTGCTTATATTAAAAGAAGAAAGGTATCGAGTGACTATTCTAAAACTCCTTTTAAAATTAGAATAAAACCAATAAGCCTCAGCTAACAAAGCTGGGAGGAAGGAAAGGGGCAGGACACAAATTACCAGCATCTAGAGTGAGAGAAAGGACATCACTACAGACCCCACAGCCAGTTAAAAATACCTGTGACAGCACCTGTAGTCTCCACTAGTCAGCTGAGGTAGGAAGAGCACACACACTCAGAAGGAACCAAAGAACAGAAGAGGAAGAAGAGGGCAAGGGGATATTATACAAGTTATAGAAGTAAGTCTGCAGATCAGATAAAATGAATATATTCCTGGAAAGTCATGAAACTTTAGAGACAACTCGAATAGCTCCCTATTTATTCAGGAAACGTGGTGGAATATTATTTTAAGGTGTGTTACTTTTGTTTATGTTGCATTTGTTTAACTCTGTGAAGCGGTGTTACTGTGCCTGTCTAAAACACCTGATGGTCTAATAAAGAGCTGAATTGCCAACAGTGAGGCAGGAGGAAGGATAAGTGGGGCTGGCAGGCAGAGAAAATATATAGAAGGAGAAATGTGGGAGGAAAGAGAAAGGAGAGAACAAGGAGAGGAGGACACTAGGGGCCAGGCAGCCACACAGCCAGCTGCAGAGTAAAAGTGAAAGTAAGACATACAGAAGAAAGAAAGGTAAAAGTCCAGAGGCGAAAGGTAGATGGGACAATTGAAAGTTAAGAAAGGCTGGCTAGAAACAAGCCAAGCTAAGGCTGGGTGTTTATAATTAAGAATAAGCCTCCATGTATGATTTATTTGAGAGCTGGGCGGCAGGTCCCCCAAAGGGAAAAAGAGCAAAAAAGAGTTAAAATGACCAACAACAAAGAAATGTATTCATGCTTTAGCTTCTTGGGGTAACAGAATTACTCTTCATCCTAAATGCTAGTGTGGTTACACCGCCTACCCCTGTGTTGAAACTCTGTACCCAAAGAAGTCAATTGTATTTTGTTACCCTTTCTTTATATTTCTCTATTTCTTTTAGAGACAGCATCTTTCTCAGTAACCTAGACTGGTATCAAACCTGGCATCCTCCTGCTTCAGCCTCCCAAGTGGGATTACAGGCACATGCCACTTTACCTGGCTCTTTGCCAGATTTTTTCATTAGAACATCTATTTTAAGAGATAAGTGGGAGGTGGGGCCCGGGGAGAAGATGAAGTTCATAAGTGCTTGAGGCACAGACATGAGGACCGGGGTTCACTCCCCAGCACCCACATTAAAGCCAGGCACAACAGCACATGCCCACAATCCCAGACCTGAGAAGGGGGAGATGGGGGACCCCAGGACTTGCTGTCACCTAACTAAACCAGTGACCTCCAAGTTTTGGAGACTCTCAGTCTTCAAAAACTAAGGCAACGGGCAATAGAGGAAGACGCCTGACATCTGAACAAAAAGGCCGAGCAATAAGTGGGTGCCACACTTGACAGTCGAATGTCCCCCAGATGCCCATGTTAATGGCCTGATCTCCAGAGTGGCACCGTGGAAGTTGAAGGGGACTTTTTTTGAGTGGGGGCCTGGTGGGAGACTCTCGAAGTGGTCACTGTGAGCATGCTCTCCTAGGGGATGGAGGATTCTGGTCTCTTCCTTTTTCTCACAACCTGCCCAGGAAGCAAACAGCTGTGTTCCACCTCACCACAGACCTAAAAGCAACAGGGTCACCTAACATAGACTGGAACTTCCAAAGCTGTAGCCCAAATAACCTTTTTGCTTTGTAAGTTTGTCTTAGGTATTTGTTACAGTACGATAAGGCTAACAAAGTACAGGAGAACAGACGGGGGGAATAAATAGGAAAAGCAAGCAAAGATTACAGTGTTGGAACTGGAGGCCTGACTCAGCATTTGGATCTGCACCATCATGAGGACCAGAGTCGGGCTCCTCAGACCCACACACCAAGCTGTTTGTTTCACACATGGCTATCAACTCAGCTCTGAGGCAGGCAGAGACATGACCATTGCTGGGGCTCCCTAGCTTCTCCTCTAGGTGAGAAAATGTGAGCCCCAGGGAGAGATCCTGTCTCAAAGGAATAGGGTGATAGAGATGGGCACCCAACAGCCTCTTCTGATTTCTGCATGTGTGCACAGGCATGTGCACCCTGCATGTACTCATACATATACACACTCACACACACAGGCATAAATATGTGAACAAATCTTTTTTTAAAGTTACAATATTATTCAACTTACTAAAATAATGGTAAGGCAAAAATTGAAACCTATACTTGGATAATAAAAAGTACTAGTGCCTATAATTCTGACACTTGGGAGATACATCCAAGATCAGGAACCCAAAGCCAGCCTTGGCTACACAGCAAATTCTAAGTCAACTCTGGAGGGCTACATGAGACCTGTCTCAACCACCACACACACACACCCCAAAAAGAAAGTTCTAAGAGGTTTATTGTAGCATTACCTGTAACAGCAAACATTGATAAAAAGCCAGTGTTTGATCAGGCATGGTGGTGCATCCGTTTAATCCCAGCACTGGGAGGTAGAGTCAGGCAGATCTCTGTGAGTTCAAGGCCAGCCTGGTCTACAGAGCGAGATCCAGGACAGGCACCAAACTACATGGAGAAACCCTGTCTCAAAAAACTAAATCCAAACCAAAACAAACAAAAAACAAGAAAGAAAGAAAGAAAGAAAGAAAGAAAGAAAGAAAGAAAGAAAGAAAGAAAGAAAGAAAGAAAGAAAGAAAGAAAAAGAAAGACAGACCCTGTCTCAAAAAAAAAATAATGGAAAAAAAAAAGCTAGTGTTATGGTCAATATTGGTTGTCTACTTGACAGGAACTAAAAACCATACACAAGACAAGCATCTGGACACACATGTGAGGGATTATCTGGATTACATTAGCCTCTCAGCTCCTTATGATGACAGATAGATCAGGCGATGTAAGAGGAAAACCCACCTTAATTGTCAGTGACACCATTTCATTGATTGGGGTCCCAGACTGAATAAAAAGGAGACAGTGAACAGACCAGAAGTTGCTGTGAAATGTCTTTCTGTATGCTGTGAATATGCGTTGCTCTGATTGGTTGACAAATAGAGCTGCATTGGCCTATGGCAGGGCAGGATGGAGCCAGGCAGGAAAATCCAAGAGAGACAGTGGGAGGAGGAAGGAGGTTCTGCAGACCACCGCCAGGAGAAGCAAGATGTGAAAGTACTGGTAAGCCACGGCCACGTGGCAACTTATAGA